TATTGCATCATCTACATTGATGATGAAATCTTTCAGAAAGACAACAGAAACGCCACTTTACACTTCTTGGTAAGTGAGGGCGCATGCCCTAGATGTGGATGGCTACGTAGTCCAATGTTCGTGCTTCAAAGAACCAAGGAAACGAAGTCTGCAAGCAGCAATGAGGGACATGGGTGAAATGTACAGTCTCTCAGGCTATGGTCCCGATTCAAGGTTGAAAAAAGGAAAAGCCACATCTTGAGAGAGTGGCAAAGGAAGTCGTGTCCATGTTTCAGTTAGAGAGAAAAGGTAAAGGGGCATACGGTGAAGAGCTCAGGATAAAGGGGGTTTGGCAGTGACAGCCCATGAATTTCAGAGGGCACAGGGGTTGGGAGGGTCTGGGAAGGGTGGGAGACTGGACCAGATGAGGCAGCATTCAGCGCCATAGGGACATGGCTTTAGGGCTTGATGGGGTCAGTCCTGCGGTCTCCTAGGTGCCAAGTGTGACTCCGTTCTCTTTGGGCTCTCTCTTCATGTGTTGAGGGAGATGAATGGTGTTGGGCTCATGATAATCATCTTTTCTAGAGCAGGAGGGGTTCTGGAGTCTTCCTTTTTGAGCTTCTCTAAGTGGTGGTGTAGCTGGAAAACGGGCAGGTCTTCATGGAGCACATGTGTGGCTCTATGGAGAATTCTCTTAAGTCCTGTTACTGGGGGAGTCACCGTTTATGGAGGGGGCAAGGCAAGCCTGGACGCGATTTCAGATCTTACGAAGGCTGGAACAGAGCTACGGCACTGAGGATTCAAGGCAGAGACATCAAGATGGCGAGATCCTGCTCTGGCTGGTGGAGCTCCACTGGCTGAGCATCATTCCACAAAGTTACAGGTCACCGGTTCGATTCCCGGTCAGGGCACATGCTTAGGCTGCAGGTTCGGTCCCCCACTGGGGTGTGTGTGAGAGGCAACCAACCAATGTTTTTCTCTCACACTGATGTTTCTCTCTCTCTCTCTCCCTTTCATAAATAAATAAATGTTTTTTAAGAAGATGGTGAGATGCCTGTGGGCTCAGTGCCTTGGGGCTGTTCTTTCATTATGGTATTTTCTTTTAGACCACAGTGGTGGCCAAGGCTGAGCTCCACCCTTTAACTGTAACCTTGAAACGTCATCTATAGTTGAAGGAATTTCCAGACTTTGATGTGGCCCCTGATGGGCTCAGGGAAATCTGCCTCTGCAGGGTCACAGACATGTTTCCTGCTCACATTCCCCACGTGTGTCAGCTTCTCAGTGACCTCGATCCACAGGTCATCCACACAGTGAGAGTGTCACATTCGTCTCCTATGAGAAAGGGGCCACACTGACTGGTGGTTCTGCTCCTTCACGTGACAGTTCTGGACATGACAGTGACACGAGGCAATGTGGACAGGAGAGGGAAAGAGGAAAGAAACCGACCGATGTGGCTGTTGATTCTGTCGTGTCCATTCTCCTCACTGTTCCCCAAAGCCCTGTGGAAGGCTTACTTCGTACTCATCACGGAGATGAAGAAAGAGATGGTCAGAGATGTCAGGGAATGTCCCCAAGGAGATGCCAGGGAAGCAGCAGGGCCGGGAGTAAAGTCTCGAGTTGTCTGACCTGAAAGCACTTGCTGCCTTAACCACCTAAAAACCGGGAGGCTGGTTCAGACAGCCCGATGTTCCTTCCCCAAACGCCCACGCAGTCAACGGACAGATGCAGGTAATTCACCGTGGGCAGAGGGCTGTGCCGGGACCTAGGGGAGCACGGAGTTGGCTAAAGAGCAGCCCCCGAGTTCTAGCATGAGCAGCCTGTGCGCAGAGAGGAGCAAAAAGTTAACCCCGGAGGACCAGAACGTAGTCACTGCCGCTGCTTTCAGTGCCAAGGGATCCAATGCCGCGACTTCGCAGTGGGCTGCAGGCGTCCCGGTGAGGAGTAGGGGTGGTCGGTTTGCTCAGGTGGGAGAGTGTGTGATGTAGTTTAACGTCACAAAGCCATTTTCTCCCCTTTTCATTATTTTTAAATCTTAAACCTTGATAACATGTTTAATCCTCACCTAAGGTTGTGTTTATTAGTTTTAGAGAGTGAAGAAGGGGTGAGAAAGAGAGAGAAACCGACTGGTTGCCTCCCCTGCACACACTGACTGGGGATCGAACCTGCAACTTTTCGGTGTGCGGGACAATGCTCCGACCAACTGAGCCACCCGGCCAGGGCGTTGATAACATTGTAATACATTGCTTTTTTGTTTTGTTTTGTTTTCCAAAATTGACTTCTTGGTGAATGTACAGTTTTGCATTGTCTTTTTTAAATTAAATACGATAAGAAATTTCCCACATTAATGGAAGTTCTTTATACACATCAGTGTTAATGACGTAGTAATCAGAAGAGAAATGATCTGGAGAGAGAGAGAGAGAGGGGGGACCGCGCAGGGGACGAGGTGGCCCAGGAAGAGGACGCTCTTCGGCCCAGTCAGTGTTGGCAAGACTTTGGTTCCCAGGACCTGGGGACAGAAGGGTTAACTGGGGGGATCGTCAGAGGCCCCCCGCCATAACGTCCACCTGTCAGTCCACGCGGCCAGTCACAGCTGCCACCTGATCGGGGTCCCTTTCCAAAAGGCCGCTCTGGAGGTCAAGCCAGTGGGGGCCAAAGGGAGGCCGTTCAAGCATCAGAGAGTCCATTTCCACCAGCAGACGTGTTCCCTGACTGGGGAGGCATCCACCGGAACTGGGGGCAAAAGAGTGTTCCCACAAAGTGGCCCCCGACCCCGGCCTTCAGCAAGGGCCCCCGCTCTCCCTCGCAGGCTTTTTCTTCCCTGCTCCAGAGCCAAGTCCCAGTGAGCTGGCAGCACTTTGATCGGAAGCCTTGATCGTGTTTCCTGTTACATTTGGAAAAGGGGTAGCGAGGCTGAAACTCGACATTAGGGGCCCGCAGCAGCCATGGAGGGCCCTCAGCTGTGAGACAGCACCTGCCCTCACTGCAGAGCAAGGCCGCTCCTGCCTGGGAGGAGCCCGCGTGCAGCCGGGGTCAGTGACGGGGCAAGACTCTTCTGGGGGCTTTGTTTTCCCATGATACAGGCTCCTTTATTCAAACCCCGGTGCTTCACCGAGTCTGGTAGTTCGTGCGCGTGGTTTGGCGTGGGTTTGGGGTCGTTCCTCCTGGTGAGACCTTGTGCTGCCCATTGGTGCTCTGATTACAATTCACACCCACAAGATGTTGCCAAAAAGAACTTTTTTTTACACTCAAAGGACCCAAAGTTTATGTAAAATTAAGTAACTAAAAATTAAATGCAGCTTCTACAGGTTACTTTTGTACATTATGAATTCTGGTCTGCCAAGCAGTTCTGTAAGGGTTAGGAATATAATTTGCATTATTTTTGTCTTGTGTCAGCAATGAAATTTTTTATAAACATTTGTCTCCTCCCAGAGGATATTCCTAGTTAACTTTCTGAAATTTACTCTGCTCACTGTTCATATAGATATTAACTGTCCACCTTTTGCCCATATTTTAACTAATTAAAATTTCCTAGTAATTGCTATTTTTACATACAATTAATAGTTGTCACAATGGTCATTAATTTTTGCAGTAGTTTACTATTGCAATGATAAATGCATGTTCACACTTGCATTTATATAGGATGTTAATATATAAAGCACGGAAGGAGACCCTCACTGCCAGAGGCGCCTGGAGTGCTCACCGATACTTAGGATATTCAGATGTCCACAATAAGTCTGAGTGACTTGCCTTACTGCAACACCGATTAGAAGTGGTGGTCTACATGTCATGTGATCAGGGATTATGCATAAATTTAGGGATACAAGACAGGCTGCCAATGTGAGTATTTGACTATTTGGTCATTTCTCTAAGCTTAGAGAATAAACTAATGCAAATTCAAGTAGATGACGTGGAAAGAAGTAGTCAGAACGTGTGGTTTTGAATCCTTGCTTTGCTGTTTGATTTTGTACATGTTTATTTAGCATCTACTCTGTGCCGAGAGTTCAGCCATAAACCAGAAACCCATCGGCGAGTAGGAGGGAGGCTGCTGTTCTCCACGTGCCCATAGTCTGGGGAGTTTAAACTGGTTCCACAACCGTGCTCAGCGTCTGTCTCCTCTTGCCGTCCAACCCTCATAAGGACGTCAATAAATGTCCAGCGAGATCACAGGCCAGCACATGTTTCTTGCACCATGTGCAGAGTGTATTTATGAATATTCTAATTGTCCTGGTAGGCTAGATGGCACAGCTTCGCAGTCACGGAAACACGCTTGCAGGCCAGGACCTGGGTTTGAATCCCGGTGCCACCATGGCTTTGGGTGAGCAGGGCCCTCTGCTCTTCAATGTACTGCAAAATTACAACAATCTGATTACTTCTTATACTGACAAATAGATTAAATAATGGGTGTATAGACTTCAGCGTGGAATCTAGTACATAATAATTATGCACTGAGGTAAACAGTTATGAAAATTTGGTACCATTTATCCCCATTAAAAAATAAGGGAATGAAGGCAGGTTATATCATTTATACAAGGCCACACAATAAGTTGCAGAGATGAGACTCAGCCAGGCTGTTCTGTTGCCAAACCCTTGGGTTTGTTTTTCATATTTTGGGTGTCTGAAAACATTTTTATAGATGTAGCTTGGAAAAATGGAAGGCTACCTATTATGTTCATGATGTTAATCGGTGTTTTTAAGCTTTCTCCTTGGCTGGGTGTGTCCACTGGTCCAGCTTTTTCCTCTCTCACCACGTTCCCCACCATCAGCTTGACTCTACCCGAGTGTGCGTGTGGCCTGGTGACAGGTAAGGCCACATTAGTCCCTGGTCTCCAGCTGCCTCTCCACTGAGAAGGGACCTTTCTCTGCCCTGGAACAGGGAGCGCGGCTCAGGTGGGTGGGCCAGGCCACTGAAGATGGTGAACCCGGACCCACTCATGGGGCTGTGAGCATCCTGCCCTTTGCCCTCCCTGAGCCATGCCCGGAAGCTGATTCACTGTGTCTCATTTGTGTTTGTTTGAAACCAGCTTGCAGATTTACTCTCGGAGGATGATGGAGGCATCACAGGGATCTGACAGCCCTGGAGGAAGCTGGGAAAGGAGCCGCAGAGACATCCTGAGGTCCACCAAGAGGGCATGGGTTCCCCTGGACGAGCAGCTGCCTTCTGGCCTCGACGTCCCCGGGCTGGGTGAGCACGGGCCCTCGGGGCTGCCTGCAACTACCCCGCTTGGGGTGGGGAGGGATGCGCAGCAGCTTTTGGCTGGGGGCAAATGATTTTGGAACAAGGACTTGGCTTGGAAGAGACCAGTGTTCCTGGCATGCTTCCAGAAACTTCTATGAAATGGCATTTCTGACTTTCCCCACAGACACTCAAAGCACAGACCTCCTTGGTGCAAACAGACAACTGAAGAGTGAGCTCGGCCTCCTTTGCACTCACTCCAATGTGCCCCATCCTGAGCCCCCCAGGACCCCAGGGCAGTGCAGTCTGTGTCAGAGACACGAGGCCACACACTTTCCACTGAAAGGCTTTATCTGCTGGGTCCTACGAGAGCATCAGTAACCACTTAGTAGCTCAGAGTAATGACAAAGAAAACACTCCTTCCTCCACTCAGGGGCGTCCAACCTTTGGCGTCTAGAAGAAGAAGAGTTGGGTTGGGCCTCACATTAAATACACAAACGCTAATGAAAACCGATGAGCAAAAAAAAAAAAGGTTTTAAGTAAAGTTACGATTTTGTGTTGGGCTGCAATCAGAGCCACCCTGGGCCTCGCGTGGCCTGCGGGCCACAGGTGGGACACCCATTGTAACTGTTGGATGGTTTTCCTTCTCTGTCCACCACCCAATTCATTCTGTCCGATCGCAGTACCTCAGCTAAAGAATAAACACCTCTACGTTCAACGGGCCTTTTGGGTTCCCCAGACAGACACCTTGCGGGGTGGGGGGGTAACTCAGCTACCTCACTGTCGGGTAGGGTGAAGTCAGAGAACGTCATCTCAGAGGAGCCTGTGGCCAACCAGCACGGAAACAGATCTTCAGCAGGGAGTGCCGCCTTCCTGTCCTCTCCCTCCTCTCTGCCTGGCGACTCTTTGTTGTGCTGGTGACAAAGATCCACCTTAAAAGACTGGGGCCTTTTTAATGCAGGGTGCCTTTGGCAATCCTGGGAGTCTAGTGCAATTTGTCCCTGGAATGAAATGCAAATTTGGTTTCTAACCTGGCAGAGAACTCCTTGCAAATAAACATCCCTGGCTAGCTGCCTTAGGTAAATGTCGTGATTCAATCAGGAGGGGCTCCGGGGTGATTTCCATTCCACAGGAGAAAGACAGAGGTCTAGTGCGCTTGTCCGCATTTTGCGCTCGCGCCAGGTAATTTAAAAATTATTCTAGCACCTCCTGCTCTTCAGTGGTTTCCTTTCCTTCTCTTTTATGTGTTCTCTTTTTTTAAAGTTACAGTCTTCTGGCAAGTTTTTCCTTCATTTTCAGGAAAGGCTGAGTATGGAAAACATGAATATGCTCAGAAACACGTGGGGTGGTGGCTGAATAATGAAACAGAGGCATTTCAGCGGGCTGTACTTTGACCGACTGTTCTGGTTCCTTTCTCGTCTGTAGGAGATTCCAAGCAAGAAAGTATTCAGCAGTGGCTGGACTCTGGATTCTTGTAAGTGTTTCTCTGTGCCCTTAAGCGTTTCCCTCGCAAAGATCCATGAAAACAGCGTGGGAGGCCCTGCTGGGGCAACACGTGACACACCACAACTTGCATTTCATTCATTCATTCATTTTTTATTTTTAGAGTGAGGGGACGTGGGGGAGAGAGAGAGGGAGAGAAATATTGATGTGCAAGACACACGTTGGTTGGTTGCCTCTCACACGCCCCCACCTGGGGACCTGGCCTGCAACCCAGACACGGGCCCTGACTGGGAATCCGGTTGGTGAACTTTCTCTTCACGGGCAGGTGCTTCAGCCACGGAGCCACACCAGCCAGGGCGGGATTTTCATTTTATCTGGGTGCTTGACGGATTGCTCTCTATTATTGCGAAAGTTGTACGTCCGTTTAAAAGTACAAGACAGTGCTGTTTCAGTCTCTGGCTTCTCCTTGGTTTCTGAAAGTCCTTTTTTAATAAAGCCTAACTCTGCATTTACTCTCATCTATTTAACTAAAAAGCAACTTAGCGTAATTTATTTACGCACCTTGTGTGATTCACAATGCTTCTGTTTCCTTCCAGTGTCTCTGCAAATGAAAACATCCAGCCGGTCATCGACCACACGGGTAAGGCAAGAGAACCCCAGAGCAGTTACGCTTTGTAAACCTGGGTAGGAGATGTATTAACATGTCTGTGCAAATAAACCTTCTGAAGATGCAAACGATCAGGGCTTCTAAAGTGGAACAGGTCTCAGACACCGTCCAGGGCCATCGCTTTGCTTGGTGTGGGGACTGCGACGCAGAAAGGGTCGGGGGTCGTCCAGCGGCAGGTGGGGGCTGCCAGGTGGCTCAGACACTAGCAGAGAACTCACTGGGTTCGAGGAAGACATTCTGTAAGAAGTGATTATGGAAATGAAATCGTTCCATGTTCCCTCACAGTGTATTGTCGTTTTATTTCTGAACCTAGTTTCTTTCTGTTCTGTAGTCTCAAAATGACATCCTCTCTAACGATGCATTTGTTCTCCAAAAGAATAAATGACCGAATTCTGCAGCGAACAATGCAAGTCTGTATTTCTGAGGCAGAACATGTATCTGACTTGTTACACCGAGATTTGATAAGAATATTATAATGAGAAAAAGAAATTTAATTACAAGTCTCCCAGTTTCTGTCTTCATTAAGTGAAGTACCGTATTTCGTAGACTCTAAGGCCCCTTGATCATAAAATGAGCTCACACTTTGTTAAGTTCCAGTCGGATGAGAAGGTGAAACAAGCCAGGGCAATTACATGCAAAAAAGCAATCCTGATATGTCCTGATTTTGCACATGTTAAAATGCAAAAAAAAATGTGTTTTTAAATTGATGAAATGCCATGAATAATGTATATAAAAATGGCAAAAATTAGGTGTTTAATGGTTAGAGAAAAAAATTATTAGTCTAACTGTTCCTTAGTTGGTTGCTTTTCATTATTTTCACTGTTTCCACTGCCTTTTAAGTGACTGTTGGCTGCAAACCCATTGAAATTTGGGATTTTTACTTAAAAAGGTGTATCATGGACATTTTCTTCTTGTCCAAGCTTTTTTAAATTTTTACATTTTTAAAAAGATTTTATTCATTTATTTTTAGAGAGGGAAGGGAGGGAGAAAGAGAGAGAGAGAGAAACATCAATGTTCAGTTGCTGGGGGCCGTGGCCTGCAACCCAGGCATGTGCCCTGACTGGGAATCGAACATGCAATGCTTTGGTTTGCAGCCCGCACTCAATCTACTGAGCTATGCAAGCCAGGGCCCAAGCTTTTTTTTTTAATGTGAAAGTTCCACGATGCCAAAATCTCTGGAGATATTTGTCCACAAATTGAAATTAAGTACCGCCCTTCATCATAGTTCAGACTCAAGGAAAGATGAGAACTTCAGAAATACAGCCAGTGTTTCACAGCCCTGACGTTTCGAGTTGCCTGGGTCAGAGGGGGCAGCCCGGCACCAGGTCTGGGGTTGTCGAGAACTGTACTAAAAACTTCACTTCCCCCAAATGAAACACGAATCATGGCCCTTCCTCCTGTGAATCAAGGCAGTGATCTGGAGCGGCTCAGACATGAGGTGAGGGCCCAGAGGGGAGGAAGGGTCTCAGAACGGCTCTGCGATGCTGAGAGGGGAGACGCCGTTTCCATCTGCCAGGTCCTGTTTCTTCGGCGAGGCCTCTAATCATAATGGAATGGCTCCTCGCAGGTTTAATGGAGCCTTCCCTTTTACGAGGCCCTTTCTCATCCATCACTTTATCAGCCCAGTGACCTGTGTGATAGCGAGGCTGGCGTTCATGTGTGCTTGACAGGTGAGGAATCTGGGCACGGCGGGGTCAGGTGCCATGGTCGCCGGTCACAGCTGGTTAGTGGCAGGTGGAGACACTTGAGGCCTCGCACCCCGTCAGCCCCTCTGTGTGCTGGTTGGAGGTGTGGGGAGGTGGATACACAGTGAGTTTAGGGAAGCCAGGGGCTGCCTCGGGGAGTGGGGAAGCTGGGGCAGGACTAGCAGCTGGGGACCTGGAGGTCGTGCAGAGAGTGGCAGGGAGGAAAACCGTGGTGAAATGAAAGGGAACTGAGGAGGAGGGAGAAATGTTGTCACGACTGGAGGGGAAAGTCTGTGGCGGCCCCCACAACCCTAGCATGGTGCAGAGCGGCACAGTGGTTCCCAGGGCGGCCACCCTACGTTACCACGAATTCGGCAGCTTGAAGAGAAACACATTCTCTCCCAGTTCTGAAGGCTGGAAGTCGGACATCAAGGTGTCAGCATGGTCGTTCTCTCCTGGAGGGTTCTAGGGAAGAACCTTCCTTTGCCTCCTCCTGGCTTCACGTGGCCCTGGTCCACCCTTGGCATCCCTCGGCTTGGAGCTGCGTCATCTGTTCTCTGCCTGCATTCACACATGGCTGTCTTTCCCTGGGGGTCCTCTCCTTTTCTTGTAAGGACACCAGTCATTGGACTTAGGACTTGGGCCCCTTAACCACTTCAATCCTCAAAGAGCCTGTTTCCAAATAAAGGACATATTCGGAAGTGCAACTTCAGATATAGAAATAAAATTAGGGGTGATCCTCTTCAACCCACTACAAGTGGAAATCATTCTGAGGCTAATTTCCCTCCTTGATCACTTCCAAAACTTGATGCACTGAAATACCAGCAAGATCCAGGCATCTGCCCATCTTCCAGGTGCCCCAGTACCGCCCACAGGAAACCGTCTAGTAAAGACCATGTCTCGTGAGGCCCTTCCGTGGGACTCGGATTACAGGTGTTACGAGCGGCCACCTGACTGCTTGTAGTCATTGTGCTCAACATGGAAAGAAGCACTTACCAAAGATGGAGAAGTAGTTGGTAAAAGGGAGCGGTTAATTAAAATGATAGCTAGAAGGAAGAATGGAGACAAAGGGAGTTTCAGGAGGTTCACCAGCTGAGGGGAGTGATCAGGTGGCCCGAGAAGTCCTGAGGTGGGTGTGGCGCCTCCCACTGGCTGCCCTGGAGCAGTCTGTCAAGCTGGGTCTCCTCTGGGACCTGTGCTCTGGGGGCTTCGAGGGCTCTTGCCCCAAAGCATCGCCTACCTGAGCTTATTTACTGATAGAGGTGACTTGGGCTTCTCCTGTCCAACACATACCTGCTCTTGCTCCTTCTTTTGCTGCCAGTGATGCCTGCATCTCATGTCTCACTAAAGCACTTCACAAAGGACGGTCCCTCCCCAGTCTGCCCTGTCTGTGACAAGTATCAGGGCATCTGAGCTGAGTGGTCTGACAGTCTCATGTTTAGGCATCTCCAGCACATTGTCTTCTCAGGACGCATGGATGGTTTACAGGGAAGAGTCACGTGGGCATCCTTCAGTTTCTTACTCCTTTCCTCTCCCAGAAGCAGCATGCTGAGTGCAGGGTAACTCCTCCCGGTGGTCACCCACCGCACAAGCAAACACGTGTGATCCTCCGTTTGGGCTCAGTGAGGATCCACAGACCTTCCTGTGACCACCGACACACGGGACAGTCGGAGGGCCTCAGGAGGCAATCGTGGTGCTAAATGGACCATGGTCCTGGATGGTCCTTACCCGGATGGTGCTGACTCCTTAACCCCAGATTCCAGATGGAGATGCCGGGGGAGAGGAGCTGGCCGGTGGCAAACCCATCGCTGCCACCGGAAAACAGACCGACATCAGCCGTGACTCAGGGTGTGTCATCGTGGTGCTGCAAGGCCAGGTGTGCCCACCGAAGGCACGTGTGGCGTTAGGTTTACACAGCGTGTACTTGTTCAACAACACATCTGAGCCCGGCTGTGAGTGGGAACACTAGCACTGGTTCCCGCAGCAGAGGGACTGCATCCGTCAAAGATCCGCTTGGCGTCATGAAGTATTTGATGGTTGGTTAATGCACTTGTCCTTTTTAACATTTAGATACTCCTTCTCCAGTCCCCAAGGAGGTCCCTGATGAGTAAACTCGTCTCTTTCCACAAGGAATGGATTCAACCATAAGAATGTACAAAATCAAATTCTAAATTTTGTGGTCTCGGTGATAAGAAAAGGTCAAAGTCGATCCAATGAAACAGAGTAGATGTCCCTTAATGCTTATCAAAAGAAAGCTTGTAGAGCGAAGAACTGGGCTAGGTGGTGGGTACAGAGATGTAGAATCTACGGCTCCTGCTTTTAAGAATGTCGCTCTGCCGCTCCAGGACCATCACAATCTGAACCTAGCCTGCACCAGATTTCTAAAAGACATTCTAGTCGTATCCTCTTTAGTTCTTTTTCTTTCTTCAGCCAGTTACTTCTGCCTTAACATCTTTCCGGCTCTGCTCACCTCCCACCCTTCTTCTGAGTCCTGACTTAAGTTCCATGTTCTCCATAAGGCCCTTCCTGACATTTGCCCTAAGAGAGTCAGTCACTTTTCTGAACATCAGTCACATCCGTTATGACTTCTATGCAGATGGCCTGTGGTCTGTGCTGCCTCGAATTATTAGGGAGATGATCCGCCTCACAGACAAACTTGTAAACGCCCCTGAGGCAGGAGTCCCCTCTAAAACATCTGATTTCTCCAGAGCTAATCAACAAGGGGATCTTAGTAAGACTGGTCCCTGACGAAGACGGTGTAGTCAGATCGGGAGATCTTCAAAGAAGAGCTGAGACTTGAACTAGGCAATCAAAGAGAGCTATGGTTTTGAAGAAAACAAAGGGGCAAAGCAAGACCATGTCACTTGGTAGAGGCAAGGGGAGCTTGAGCAAAGTCACAGGCTGCGGAGAAAATCAAACGTGTGCAGGAAGGCATTCAGAGGTGGTCCGACTAGAGCGGTGGCTTTGGGCTAGGGAGCAAAGGTAGAAGAAATGTGTCTGTTAAATCTGTTAAATAGGGTGTTGCCAGGCGCCTTAAAATCCAGAAAGAAGGAACCCCACTCGATGCCTTAGGAGAGGGGTGGCAAAGCAGTGTCATCTTGGGTTCCAATCAAAGGACATGCAGCTGTCACCACAGTGTGTGTCAAGTAGGATTTTGAAGCCCTACCTTTGTCCACCTGAACAGAGGGTCTCAAGTCACCAATGACAGATGCCATCAGCGCAGCACCAGGGCACTGAAGCAGACCCGTCACACCTTTGCCACCTCTGTGGCGGTGAGCTCTGAATGGT